GGATAGTCCCTCAATAAATAATGGAATAATGGCTACTTCTTAATTCTAATGATAAGTAGCTAGGCTAACTTTCGATTCCAACGATAAGCTACCAATACCATAAGCCTTCTGATATTTTGTAAGATCAATACATAACTCATGCTGATGGTCATATTAGACCTACAGTTTATGAGTTGATAAGATCCATTATCAAACAAGAGCATTGGGATGCTTTTGTTGCCAGGTGCCATGACAAATTATTCTTGGTAAGGATCATGATATTTTATGTAATAATTTTATATGAATTGATCACTAGACTCATGGTACTTTTTATGTTTTTATAGGAACTGAGCCAAAAGAATAAAGAGTTAAGGGCAAAAAATCTCTTTCCCTTCCTAAAAAGGCGCGCTTAGGGTATTCAAAGATCAAGCAACAAGTGGTATGTGTTGAATTTATTAATTGATATGCAATGTGTGATGTCACCAATGTATTTTAATGCATAGATCAATGAAGAAGGGCACAACAGAGAGCTCTATATCATGGACCAGACTCTTTATATTAGGCCGGACTGACAAAGATGGCAACTATGTGGGTGAACATATTCAAGAACTTGCTAAGTACTATCATTCTCAACTTTAGATAACATGTTTATAATTGCTATTTTAATAACTTATGTTTTTCAAATTATGATGAATAGATTGTCATCTCAAGAGAAGTTTTAAAAGATGAGCTTCCCTAGGATGAAGATGTCTTAGAAAAGGCATTGGGGAATCATGATCACCTAGGTCATGTTAGGGGTATTGGCATAGGGGTCTCAAGGAAACAAATAGTGGGCAAAAAGAAGACTCCAAAAGATACGCTTTCTTCAGCTGAGTTTAATGCTCTAAAACAATAAGTAGAAGCACAACAAGAAATGATTGAGGCACTGCTTAAGGCTAATGATACTAGGAAGTCACCCTTTAAGCACATCTACCCCAGCAAGATAAATAGTTGCATTGTGGCCTAGCCATTTAGTCAAATTCTTGAGGTATATATTATTTTTATTCCTCAACTTTAGTTCACCATTATTTCATTAACTTATACTTATTTTTATTTAGGGTGAGCATGATTGCTTTTTCATGGCAAATAGCCTTAGTAGACCCAAAGTGGCAAGAGGCCATGTGTTTAATATCCCTGGGAAAAATACCACACACAATGTGCTAATGCCTACAGACTATTTGTAAGGATTGATTCTTGAATCTATTGATGCCAACTACTCGTTGCCCATTCCCACCTTAAAAGCATTCATTATTGGAGAAGTAGGTGGCAACTTTATTACATGGCCTAGAGTTTGCTTTAGTGTAAAAGATGAAGCATAAAATCGAGAACAGGTATGCTAGTTACCTATTTATGCAAATGTTACCTATATTGATCTCTAATTATATAATTGGTGTGTAGCCTAAGGGAAAAGGTATCACTAGATGATCGAGCCAATTATCTAAGGTTGAGATAGCCATGGCGAATCGATTGCCAAAAACCTACCAAAGTGTACTTGAGGCATATGCAAAATTGTTTGCTGAGTCTATAGTGCTTATCAACTTTAACCAAAGCATGTACAGTAGTGAATAACATGATATGATTAGTGTTGAAATGGTCAATAAGGTCCTCAAGCACATTTCGATAAGCCAAAACGTGGTTCATTTTTATATGAGGTACATATTATTTATATGACTTTTTACTCTATTTTAAACTTAATATAATATAATAATTTGTTTATTTTTTTTCATTTAGGTTCCTATATGAAAATTTTATCATCCCTGATGATTGTGCATCAAAGTTTGTCTGTCTATTCTCATGATGTCTCTACTTATCACAACATCACTACTGAGGTGCGGTATAGCTAAGCTCAAACATTAGCAAAGTACTTCAAGGCATAGAACCCTACTACGAGGACATTATTTTTGGCACCTTATATACAAGGGTAAGTTCAATGCTATCCCAATTAATTTATTTACAAGGGTAATTTTTTTAGGTAAACGATTGTTGGTCTTAAACGATTGGGTAAATTACCGATTAACAGTAGGATATTCATCATTGGCCGGGTAAATGATTCTTGTGCGTTAATGATTTCAATATTATTTAAAGATAGGATCATGCTTGTCGGGCATATCTACGATCATTTGGTTTGCATAGCTAATATATGGAATAATTTAGTGCAACATTGATGCGTTGAAAAATATCTGATATGAATAACTCTACAGTTGTCAATAATGTTTTCTTGTATTGTCAATATACTATAAATAGTTGTAGATACACTGTATTGTGCAAGCTGACTTGTAAGAATGCAAGTGCTATTGGAGAACATGTATTATATTATGTTTTTTTCATATGGGACATTTTTTATATTATTCCCAAGCATCTAATGCAATCTTGTTTTGTTGAAAAATCTTTACTATGAAACAACAATGCATCTTGTCAATAGTGGATGAATGTGTTGTCAATACACTGTGTGTAGTTGTCAATTCACTGTGTGTGGTGCAAGTTGACCTGTAAGATGGCAAGTTTTTCTGGAAAATATATATTATGTATTTTCCATTTAGGGGGCACCAATGACTAGAAGGCCTCCAGGTAGATCAAAGAGTAAAAGAAGGGAATCTTAATTCCAAAAAAAAAGGGTTTATTATTATGGAAAATGTCGTAAAACTGGTCATACCTTTAAGACTTGTAAGAATCCTAGTCCATGCTAGAAAATATTAGAGACAAGTGTATCTTTTTGTTGATGTATCTTGAATTTATTTTTTGTTTACTTTTTTATTTATTGTACCCAATGTACTAGCACTTGTCAATAGTAAATGTATAGCATGTAAATGAAGTGATACCTTGTAGTCTATGACCAATGGCAAGTACTCAACAGGTTCTTGTCCCTGGTTGATTTTTGAAGGGAATAATAGCCCCTAGTGCCTCAACACTTGTCAATGGCTAATTACTAGCTTGTCAATATAGCTATAACCACTCGTCAATTGCCAACGGCAAGTAGTCAATAGGTTCTTGCATCTTTTTTAATTTTTTAAAGGGAATAACAACATCTAATGCTTCAATACTTGTTAATGGCAAATTAATACCTTATCAATATAGTTATAATCACTTGTCAATTACTAACAGCAAGTAATTAATAGGTTCTTACACCTTTTTGATTTTTAAAGGGAATAATAGTACCTAGTGCCTCAGCACTTGTCCATGGTGAATTACTGCCTTATCAATATAATTATAATCACTTGTTAATTTCCAATGGTAAGTAGTTAACAAATTCTTTTAACTTGTTGATTTTTAAAGAGAATAATAGCACATGGTGCCTCAAAACTTGTTAATGGCAAATTACAGCCTTGTTAATATAGTTATAACAACTTGTCAATTTCCAATGGCAAGTAGTCAATAGATTCTTTTAACTGGTTAATTTTTAAAGAGAATAATAGCACTTAGTGCCTCAGCACTTGTCAATGACAAATTAATAGCTTGTTAATATACTTACAATCACTTGTCAACAAAGTGATAACCACTTGTCAACATTCAATGTGTGCCATATTTACAAACTTGTAATCAGTATTCATAACAGCATTATCTAAGTTAATTACACGAAATGGACTAATTATACAAAAGGACATGATTATCAATAAAATTATATCCTAAAGTTATGTCAAAAATCTTTTTACAAGACATATCAAGTAGTCTATTGAATCCTAACTTCTCTACCTTTTTTCATAATTTCTCATTTCCCTTCACATGCTTTGCTACTTCACTAAATTGATTAGGAGAGTAGCGCTTATGGAATGGAACAGTATATTTCTTCATTGTTGTCTTTACTTTCTCTTCCATCTTCCTTTATCTGAAAAAAGAAAAAGAAAAGTTCAATTAGATATGTTAAAAAGAAATTTTTGCATATTAGTCATTAATACTAAATTTCAACTCAAAGATTTTTGTGCTAACATTATTTATTAATATCCATAAGGAAGAAGAAAATATGAGTCATAGAGGAAAATGGTTTATTAGTCATGATGGTTCACCAGTCAATGGAACATACTATTATTTTCATGGAGTTTATGGTTGTAGTCATTGGAGTAATTAGTTATCGTTTATGGAATAAATGGTTTTTGTCAATAGAGTATATGGTTGTTGTCAATAGAGAAAGCAATTGTCGTCAATGGAGAAATTTGTAAATATTTAAAATTATAGATTTTTAAGCAGGATTGAGAATTTTGTTATCAACGCACCAACATCTTGATAAAAAAAAACCATGATTATACTTGCTTACAAAAATTTCATGCACAGCTTTACTTTTGTAACAACCAAGAAATATACTTGATTATTTATAAGTCTCCAAAGATGAAAACTAAAGCAAAAATGAAAACTTTAGTAGTAATTTGAAAAACTGTTCACAGAACTTCAGTCATTATATAGCTTATCCCCTTTCTTCTTTATGTTTACAAACAATTATACCAGTATCCTTAAGCAAGTTAAGAGTATATTTTCTTTGGGATCTAGAAATTCGTTTGCTAAGCTAGACTACTGTAGAGACAGTCCGATGATGGCAGTTAGGGCATATTTGAGTTAGTGAAGCAAGAGCGCGCTACTTTCTTTGTTTGCTCCTTCAAGTCTTGGACTCTCCGACATACGACATTATAGTTTTCTCCAACGGAATGCGACTGCGAGAACGGTGGTTAGTGATGAACTTTGGGAGATGCTAGAATGAGGAATACAGAACCATTCACTGTGGGTTTCAGCTTTCATGGTTAGTGGAAAACAGAGTGATTTTCAAGTATTTCAAGTACAAGGTAAATGGGTAATTTTATTTTCAAACTTATTTACCCTTAAATCCTTTGAGATCTGCCAGAGATTTTTTAAATTCATGGGATCTCAACATATTTTAAGTATTTTCATGAGACTTTAGAGTGAATTTCCTTATTTTATTTTGTTTTACTGTTATAAAATTACTGGAATGCCCTTGAAGGAAATAACATTCAGATTAGATTTTACTCTCCCTCCTCCAATTTTCATTCCCGTGGTCGCACAGGGAGAAAGAGGTGTTAAAAAAACAAAAAAATTGAAACCCTACTCTGCGATTCTTCATCTCTTCCGTCGCCGGTGTGAGTGAGAGGGAGGGTGATTGATTTTTCCCGGCTGCCGCTGTTGTAGGTGACGGTGCCGTCGGACCTTCTCCTCGTTTTTGTGCCTCTGTTTGCAAGCAAGGGATGAGGGGGTGCTCGACTGAATCTGTTTTGAACCTCCACCTTCCTGTGTTCCTCCTCTTCCTGTTGCTCGTGAGTGAGGTAGTGAGGAGCTAGGTTCGCTGCTGTTGAAGGTTCTGTAGGGATTGGTAGGCTCTTCTTCCTCGTCCCCTGTTTTCTTCGCTGGTTCCCCTTCATCTTCTTCGTTTCTGTTTGGCTTCAATGCTGTTTTGTGTGTGATGAGAAAACTTTAAATCCTTAAGTCCATTTCCTTCATTGCTTCTTGGTGAGTTCAAACTTTATGCTCTCTCCCTTGCATCAGTTTGTATGGGTTTTGAGATTAGTTTAGATGCTGGAAAATCAGCTGCTGTGCGTGCAAATAAGAGATTAATATTTAATCAAACTTAAAATGAAAACTTGGAAGCTCGCTCTAATTAAGTAATGATGCGTACTTTGGTCATGTAGGAAGGAAATTGATTTAGATGTTCTTTTTAAGATTTAAATTGATTTTTGTTACAGAGTTGAGTTGGATAAATATGATGATAACGTTATATAATCGTGAAAGAAGTTATTTATTTGATTTTTAAGGTTTATGATCGTCAATAATATCTTGTGCGTTCCATGCTATTTTTCCTAAATATGGTTGAATTAGTTTTCTTGTTTGAATATTAACGTTTGAGTCGCTGGAAATCTAAAAGTGCTTCATAGAGTTTAGTGAAGAAACACTGGATACCATGTTGATAGTCATTTGTCGTAGCTCGAACCCAAATTTAAAGCTTTCAAGGCTGTTAATTATTAATTCGGTTGAACTACTCTTGTACTCCTCAAATTTCACTTGATTCTGATGTTAGTCTCATTATTTAAAGTTTGTTATTTAGTTTCTGTAATGTTATGGAAAAAAAAAACCTTGATTTTATTTTAAATCGAATGGTAATTAAACATGTGCTATTAGATTTATTAGAGTAGAGCAGCAGAAGTATGGAAGAGTGCTAATGAACTCTATGGGTTCAGATGGCAATAGGTTGTTCTGTTGTTTTTAATCGCCAGGCATGCATATTTTCATTCTCTTGCATTCCATAGGGAATCCTAATGAAATGTTGAAGAAAAGAATTATATAGCATTAAGTATTATTTAATATCCTTATTGACACATAGGTGTTGGTTATTTTATCCAAGCTTCATTAAACGCTTGGTGAAGAATTATGCTATTTAGATTTGGTTAGATATTCATTTTCTTGCATTTCTTTAGTTCAATTATGTTGTTTCCAAGTTGTTGATTTGCTGTTTAGCATAAAGATAGCCACCTCGTAGCTCCTAGCATGTTTGAATGTTAATTCATGTGGTGGTATTGTGTGAAATTGTTTACATTTGTGGTGAATTCAATTTTATCCAGAGATGAATCCCATACTTATAGAGTACAAAGCAGATATGATAATATCATATCATATCATATCAGAAAAATAAAATAAAATCTAATCCCTACTAATTAGCTGAAAAGATAACAAGAATAAAATAAAATAAAATCTATGGTTAAGTTATCTAATGGGCCTACAACCCGTCATCCCACTTTCCACACTCCCCCTTAAGCTAGCGAATGGACATTGATCATTCCTAGGCTTACAATTTCTGCAAACTTGGCTCTAACAAGAGGCTTGGTCATCATATTTGCAACTTGGCTTCTCGAGGGAATATGCCAGATCTATGATTTTTGCTTCAATTTTCTCTTTGATGAAATGTCTTTCAATCTTGAGAGCTACCATACTATCACTCCACATTTTTATAGGAACCTTCATTTCTATACCAAGTTCCTTCAGTAGTTGTACAACCCACATATGTTCACAAATTCCAAGAGTCAATGCTCTATATTCAGCTTCTGCCGAGCTTCTAGAAACAATCTGGTTGCTTCTTGCTTCTCCAAGTTACTAGGTTACCCCAAACAAATGTGCAATATCTAGTGGTGGAACGCCTATCATAGATAGCTCCTGCCCAGTCTGCATTGGTGTAAATTTCTACATCTATTACATTTTTTGATCCTGGAGTTCTCTTATTGCCATCTGCATATATTTCTACACTCTTATTCCCTTTTGAGAAGAATAAACCCTTTCCAAGTATGGTTTTTAGATATCTAAGAATCCTATATACCACCTCTATATGCTCCTTCTGAGGACTACTTGCAAACTGGCTCACAACTCCTACTGTAAAGGATATGTTGGGCCTTTTGTGAGATAAGTATATGAGTTTTGCCATCAATCTTTGATACCTTTCTTTATTCACTGTCTTCCCATCAGGTTTCACTTCTAGATTACAATTTAGTTCCATTGGGGTATCTGCAGGTCTTGCTCCCAACATTCCAATTTCCTTAAGCAAATCCAAGGTGTATTTTCTCTGTGATACATTAATGCCTTGTGGTGAGTGAGCAACTTCCAGACCCAAAAAATATCTTAGATTTCCAAGGTCTTTAATCTCAAATTCTTCATCCAGACGTTGCTTTAGTTTCAAGATTTCTTCAACATCATTTCCTCTCAGTATGATATCATCCACATACACGATTAGGATAGTTGTTTTCTGACTAGATTGTCTGACAAATAGTGTATGAACAGCTTGACATTGAACATAGCCAAATCCCTTTACAGCACACGGGTAAACCTCTAAAACCAAGCCCTGGGTGATTGCTCTAAGCCATAAAGTGACTTGTGCGATCTACATACTTTACTTGCATTATTTGGACTTCTCAATCTTAATGGAATCTCCATGTACACTTCCCCTTTCAAGTCCCCATTTAAGAAGGCATTCTTGACATCTAATTAAAATAATGGCCAGTCTAAATTAGCAGCAAGAGAAAGTAGAATGTTTATGGTATTGAATTTTGCCACTGGTGCAAAGGTCTCTTGATAATCAATGCCATAGGTTTGGGTAAAGCTTTTAGCAACTAACCGTGCCTTGTATTTATTGAGAGTACCATCGGAATTATACTTCTTTGTAAGAACCCATTTACTCCCAACAACTGACTTTCCCTAAGGTAACTTCACAATTTCCCATGTCTTATTTTTATTTAGAGCATTCAACACTTCATCAATAGTCGCCTTTCACTTAGGATCAACTATGGCTTCCTCAAAACTCTTAGGTATATTCTCACTATCAACACCAGTAACAAAGATCTTAAATTGAGAATTGAGTTTATCATAAGAGACATACTTGCTGATGGGTTGTCTAGTACAACTTCTCTTGCCTTTTCTAAGAGCAATAGGCCACTGAAGATCTTCAGGATTACCCTCAGTTTGAGAATCATGACTTTGCCTTGGTACAACAATGGGATTTTCACTGTTGGTGTGCTGTTCAGACTGATCTGTCCCTGATTCATCCAAGTATGGCTCAAAATTGGGCTTAGGTTCAAGCTCAGGATTGGGCTTAGGTTCAGGCTTAGGATTATTGGGCTCAGGTTCAAGGTTTGGAATATGCTTAGGTTTAGGCTCAGGAATTAGAATAGGTTCAGGCTTAAGATTTAGAATAGGTATAGTGGACAAAGGGTCTTGTGACATATGAGGTCTCATACTAGGACTTTCAGTTTGTTTATTATTTGAATGACCATTATTAGTGGCACAAATTAGCCATTCACCATCACTCTCCCCCTGAATGGGTATTTTGGGAAAGAAATTCAACAAATGTGACATTCGTAGTGACATAGAATTTTCGAGTGTTAGGAGAATAACACTTATATCCCTTTTTGGTGGAAGAGTATCCTAAAAGGATGCATTTGATGAATTGAGATTCGAGTTTGTTACCAGCATCATGAAAAACAATGGCAGTGCACCCAAAATCCTTTTTCGAGAGGGAGTTAAGTAAATGAGAGTGAGGATAGGATTTTAAAAATAAGTCAAGAGGGGTTTGAAAGTTGAGCACCCTTGAAGGCATGCAATTAATGAGATACGCAGCCGTAAAGACTGCATCTTCCCAAAATTGTGTGGAACATTATTATCAAGTAAGAGGGCTCTGGTGACTTCAAGTAGGTGTCTATTTTTCCTCTCGGCTACCCCATTTTGTTGAGGTGAATGTATATAGAAAGTTTGGTAGTGAATTCCATTTTCAGTTAGGAAAGTGTGGAGAGCAGAATTGAGATATTCAGTTCCATTGTCACTATGAAGAACTTTAATAGAGGTTTAAAATTGAGTTTGAACAAAAGTATAAATTTTTTTGAAAATAGTGCAAACCTTAGATTTATCTTTCATGAGAAAAATCCATTTGAGACGAGTATGGTCATCAATAAAAGAAACAAACCATCTAGCCTTAGTGTGAGCTTCAATCTATGAAGGGCCCCACACATCACTATGTATGAGGGAAAAAGGTGTGAAGGGACTATGAGAGTTGGAAAAGGATGGCAAGTTTGTTTGGCAAATTGGCAAGTATCACAATGAAATTTCATTTTATTCATAGAGTTGGGAAACAAAACTTTCATATAATCAAAACTAGGATGACCTTAATGAGAATGCCATAACATAATGTCTTCTTGAGACATAATAGAAAAAAAAAGAATTGGAAATAGGATCAACAGAACAGCCTTTAATGGTAGATTTGCTTTCCAAATAGTAGAGCCTATTGTGTTCCTTAGCATTGCCAATCATCCTCCCCGAGGTTAAATCCTGAAAAATACAACGAGATTTGTCAAAAGTGGCAAGGCAAAATGAATTGTGAGTGATGCTTGTAATTGATAACAAGTTACATTGTATATCGGGAACATGTAAGACATTCTTCAAAATAATAAAGTCAATGGACATTAGGATCTAAGTTCAGTTGTCAATGGACCTGGGAGTAATTAATTATGTTGAGTGAAACTTGAATGTAATTCTCCTGAAAAATATTTGACGATGGTTTTCCTGTGTCTCTTTTTAACTCACCATTTAAAATTTTAAATCATCTTCCGTGCATAGCAAATATAATATGATTTCTGTCCTTTTTATTTTTGTAACTTTCAAGAGGTATAGGCTAAGTTCTTTAAGAATCCTGATATGTAGACTACCTATTTGTATTAATTCCTCAACAAGTCATATGCTACTTGTAGAACAACTTGTGATTCTATATTTCCAGTCTCATAATATGTGCTAGTTGACACTTATTTATTTGTTTCTTTATATATTGTTCTTCTTTACCTTAATACAAGTATTTTTAAGGAGAAATTAAACCATTGTTGTAAATATTTTGTAACATGTGATTAACCAATTGATGCTCTATCATAAATACATGCATATCCATTTTTGGACAGGGTGTACCTTGTTTTTCATCTATAGATACACACGATATATGAGTAGTTTGGAAATACATTTGTATAGAAATGGCATATAGGGGAGGAGGACGAGGAGGAGGGCGAGGAGGGGGTTATGGAGGTTGGGGCGGCCATTCATTTGCCAAACCAGAAGCATTTGTGCTTTTTCCTGAGGTAATTTGATCTATCTTTGAAACATTGACTATTCATTTTTTCTTTCATTATCAGAGGCCTAGGATTTTGTGCAGAAATTGAACTTAATAAATATGTTGGACTTTGTTAAATCTAGATTTTGGTGTGTCCTTGACTAAACAAACTTATTAGTGCCGATGGCAGTTAACCATAGCTGGGGCAGTCTGGCTGGGGAGGGATGGATATTGTAGCCAAAGAAAGCAATTGTGTTCAGTTATTTGACGATGTGTGCTTCTGGTTGGGTGGCTGAATAATTTATGTAATGAATATAAAAACCTTTTTGACTTGTTGATGAAATGTGGATAATTAGAATGAACTCAGTTTATTCCTAACGAGTTGTTCCAATGGAAGTAGATGCAAACAGAAATTAAAACAACGGAAGTAGATAAAAAAACCAAAAATTAAAACAATGAACTCTAGTCTTTTCTGCCAGTCTGTGTTTTATTGTGGATCCGATATCTCAGTAATTCTGTTAAAAATTTGTAGGAATACTTATTTTTACTGCGATCAATAGTTACTATTAATAACTTGCATGGTTGTTCATCACTGTCCTCTTGAAACTACAGGATGTTGTCTTGCCTGGTGCTAAAATTGATGATATTGATGCCAGTATGAAAAGGTTGCTTAACTGGAATAACAAGTTGAAGAATTACTGGAAAGCCTCTCCTTATTTTCTAGAGGACACTAACTCCAAGAGTAAGCGTTAAAATTCTTCTCATATGATTTATGTATCAGAGGAAGTCAATTAAATATGTAAAATCGGTGTCAATTCCAAAATATTTGACAATGTACCATAATTGGAGTGAGAGGTGGTGGGTAACTAAAGCACACGATTTCAAGTTGTAGATGTCTTTCAGAGTACTCTTGCATGACCTTTGCATTCTTGTTGCACCATTACCATGGCATTTTGCTTTTCAAACTATGTTTATGCAAACTATTCTCGTGTCAAATTCTTGGAATGAATTTTAATGTCTTAAACATATGGGACAGATGTAGAATTCCTCTTGAGTGAGCTGATGCTTCATTTCATGAATATAGAAGCAGTAAACCCAAGTAAATAGTATGGTCTTACAGCTGGAGAGCGAGAAGTGAGGATAGATGCTTTGGACCTAGCGTGTAGGCTCTCTGGTGTCTGTATTAGATAAATTCTTTTACTCTAAGGAAGTGAATTTGTTAAGATAGACAGAGACGAAGAGAGAAGAAGAGAGATAGGTAGACAAGAGAAAGAGAATAGAGGAGACTTTTCTGAATAGTACGCTTTCTTATAAATGAAATCAACAACAACTACATATCTGGACTTAGGGGCATTTATAGGCTGACCCATTAAGGACTAATACAGTAACAGAGTACCTAATTAACAATTATACCTCTAATACCCCTATACTCAACTAATTCTATATTTCCTAATATTTATATATCAATACTCCCCTCCCCAACATCCTTGCCCTCAAGGATCAACAAGAGAAAAATCTGGAAACTGCTTCTGAAATTTAAACTGAGACAGCCATGTAGCTTCCTCATCTGACAAGCCTTTCCACTGAACTAACACTTAAGTAATAATCCTTCCATTCTTTCTTCCCACTTGTTTGTTCAGTATCTTCTCAGGAAATAACAATTCTGGAATTTCTGGCCATTCATCAGGCGGATGTCTCTGCTTCACTGACTGGTCAGGGCATAACCTGAGGAGAAAAACATGAAAAGTGGAATGGATTCTAGAACTAGGAGGTTATTCCAGTCTGTAGGCAACCTTCCCAATTCTCTTGAGCACTTTATAAGGCCCACAATACCTTGGTGCTAGCTTTTGAGTGCTTCTAGAGGCAATAGATATTTGTCTATAAGGCTATAACTTCAAAAACAGCCATTGACCTTCTTCAAACTCTCGATCAGATCTTTTCAAATCAGGCCTTTGCTTCATTAAATTCGTTGCCCTGTGCAAATGATGTTTTAAGACTCCAATCATGTGTTCCCTTGCTTCAAAACTCCTATCCACAACTTCAACAATTGCTGTTGTAGGCAAATAAGGAATATATAGAGAAGGTTTCTGCCCATAAAGTAATTCATAGGGAGTAGCTTTGATAGAAGTATGAAAACTAGTATTATACCACCATTCAGCAAGTGGTAACCATCTACTCCATTCTTTAGGATTTTCCCAACACATACAACGTAAATGAGTTTCCAAGCATCAATTGAGCACCTTGGATTGACCATTAGTTTGAGGATGGTAGGAAGAAGTAAGCTTCTTCTCCACTCTAATCACCTGGAGGAACTCCTTCCAAAAATTACTAATAAACACCAGGTCCCTATCACTTATCACCTCAACCGAGGCGCCATGCAATCTATATATATTATCTAAGAATGCTTGAGCTAATGTAGAAACTAAAAATGGGCGAGATAGAGCCATAAAATGGGCGAGACAGAGCCATAAAATGGGCATACTTGCTCATTCTATCCACTACAATCCGAATGATGTCTTTCCCACTCGATTTGGGGAGCCCTTCAATAAAATCCATTATAACACTCTTCCACGCCTTACTCAGAATTGGTAGTGGCTGTAACAGTCCTGGACTTGCTACACTTTCATATTTACAGCGGGCACAAGTGTCACAATTTTTGACAAAATCCTGCTTCAGCACATCTTGCAGCATTTTCTCCCACCAAAATAACCCTTTGATTTTCTGATATATGGCTTTTATTCTAGAGTGTCTCCCTTGAGCACTGGCATGTAACCATTCTAGAATAAATTGCCTCAAAGCTGGACTTTCACTGACCACCAGCTTTCCATTTCTTCTAAGAAATTTGCCATCCCAAGAGTAGGCTTTAATACTGCCATCTTGTCTTTGTAATTCAGAAATAAGGGCCTTGAGATCTGGATCCAACTCCCAACTCTCCTCAAGCTTGTGTAATAATTCCGAAGATGACGTATCTAAAGTCATTGAAGCAACTGAGGTTGTGAGAGTTGAGAAAGAGCATCTGCAGTAGTGTTATCATCCCCCTTTTTGTAATGAATCTCATAATCATACTCCATTAACTTTGTAACCCAATACATCTGAAAAGGGGTCTTCAATTTCTAACTCAGCAAAAATCAAAGACTTTGCTGATCTGTTTTGATAATAAACTTCCTTCGTTCAAGGTATTGGTGCCAATGCTCGATAGCTAGTACAACTGCCAATAATTCTTTCTCATAAATTGCAAGCTCAATTGTTTAATAGTAGTCGGTGTAGGCCAATTCACCACTGCTTGAATTTTTTGAGGGTCAGTAGCCACCTCTCCATTGCTAATGATGTGACCTAAGCATTCCACTTTATTGTTGGCAAATGTACACTTGCTCCTCTTGATAAAATAGTGATTTTTCTGCAAAATTTCAAACACTAGTCTTCGATGCTGAACATGCAGATTCAAATCTGGGCTATAAACTAAAATATCATTGAAAAAAACAAGAACAAAGTGGCACAAATAAGGTCTAAGAATAGGCTCCCTAAAATGTTGTTGGGGTATTGGTTAAGCCAAATGGCATAACCAAGCACTCATAATGGCCCGAGCAAGACCGGAAGGCTGTTTTGAGTGTCTTGAGGCTCCATTCAGATTTGATAGTATCTGGCTCTCAAATCCAGCTTGGTGAACTACCTAGCTTCCATCAATTCATCAAATAATTCTTCCACAAAGTGGAATAGGATATCTATTTTTGATTGTCTTCTTATTAAGCTCATGCTAGTCGATACCCGTGTGCCATGAGCCATCCTTCTTTTTCAGCAATACAATAGGTGCAGCAAAAAGGGAGCTACTCTCTTGTATCACACCTACAGCTAGCAACTCTCCCACCATTTTCTCAATAAGATCCTTTTAAATAGAATAATAACGATAAGGCTTGAGATTAATAGGATCTGTCCTTTCTTGTAAAAGAATAGGGTGATTATGACCCTTCCTAAAAGGAGGCAGACCTTTGGGTTCGTCAAAAAGACTTTTAAAGGTCACCAACAGCCTCTGGAAGTGTTGTTGTTGGTTGCACAGCAAGGATTTGAGACTGAGATTGACTACTTTCTGCCAATTGGAGTAGAAATAATTGGCACCCATCTACATTCTTAATTTATAACTTGTTGGAATCAACCATTTGCCATTTTGATGGAGGTTGTGCCTGCAAAACACACATTTTTCCATAATTCCAGAAATGCATGGTAGTAGAAATATAATCCTAAAAAGCATAATGAAGGCTTTTAAGCCATTCCCAGCCCAACACAATATCGTAATTGCATATTTTCATTATCCGGAAGTCTCTGCAAAAGTCCTCTCATTGCATTTTCCATTTAAATGCCTTCCAAACTCCATATATTTTTAGTTTTCCAGCCCCTGCAACCACTGCATCAGCCCATCCATCTTCTTCACTCCAACCCAGCTTCTTTGCTAAGTCATAATCAAGAAAATCGTGGCCGCTTCCATTATCTATGACAATTTGGATGGGTCTCCTTCCCACTTACCCTTGAAGTCTCATAGAATTCAAGCTAACTTTACCCTCAATGGCATGAATTGAAATTTCATGGCATTCAGTAGGATTTTCTTGTTCATCAAGGTCTGTCTCCTCGCGTCGTAGCTCATCTTCCTCAAGATTTTCATCAAACTCTATTAATTGCAATTGCATCTTGCATCTCTGAGGGCAATTAGGATCCCTAGAAAATTTTTTATGGCAGTAAAAATAGCGGTTTGTGCTGTGTGTTCCACCTCCTTTGGTGTTAATTTTGTGATGATTTTAATCCCATAAATAAATTGGTGAGAAGAAAAAGATGAATCTTTTGCTATGTTAGTGGCTGTGCTTTGTGCGATTGATGATTCTAATGTTGGTTGTGCTGTTTTAATTGTGTTTTGGCGAGGCCCATAATGTGAGAAGCTCTATTTTGGTGCTGCCCAGGTATTTGTAGGACGCAAATTTGCCGAAGATGACACGGCATTGCCTTGTGATGTGTATGACACCTTTCTTGGCCACATGTTTGCTTCGTGTGATATCCGAAGGTGTATTTCTTGAAGTCAGGCTAAGCTTCTTGCATCTTGAATAGTTGTGGGCTTAAGTAACCTAACGAGCCTAGCATATTCTTCTTGTAAACCCTCCAAATAAGTATGCACCAAATATTCCTTAGTTAGGTCAAGCTTACACACAATTTCATTGAAGGAATCATTAGAATCTCCTAAACTCTTTGTCTGTCGCAGTCACATAAGTTCTGCCATGGGTGCTTCATAGGTGGGTATGAATTGGTTCTTTATTGCTTTTGAGTATTCTGCCCATCTGGTCACACATCTCCTTCTCGTACGCATGAAGGTTTGATGCCATTGAAAGGCCTTCTCATCAAGATGAGTATTGGCATCATCACCTTCCATGCATTTGGGGTGTTATCAATTTGGAAATACTGATCGCACTTCATGAGCCATCCAAGAACATTCCCTCTCTGAAATCTTGGAAATTCTATCTTGGTAAATCTAGTAGGAGGTTGGTATTCCCTTTCTTGTCTTTGTCGTTGGCGTCCTCCTCCAATTCATCGATGGTGTCCTTTTGCATCATTAGAATCTGTTTCATGATTATTGCGAGACTTTTCTACAGTGCGAACAAGTTCTGCGATTTGGGTAGTAAGAGCTTTGATATGATTTTTAACAATAGTGAGTCTTGTATCTGTTTGATCAGTCATCCTTGATTGGGAGCAGGTGATGGGCATAGAAGGGAGGAAATAATGGCTCTGGATACCACTGTTAGGATAAAGAGAGACAGAGAGAGAATACGAGAGATAGGTAGATGAGGGAAAGAGAATAGAGGAGACTTTTCTGAAAAGTATGCTTTCTCATCAATGAAATCAACAACTACATATCTGGACATAGGGGTATTTATAGGCTGACCCATTAAGGACTAATACAGTAATAGAGTATCTAATTAACGATTATACCTCTTATGCCCCTATACTTAACTAATTCTTATATTTCCTAATATTTACATATCAGAATTAGTGCCACATATCACATCAGATGGGATTAAAGGGGTCTTGATATATAATCTGGTTTGAGGTGCATCCAGACAGACCAGACATAGAGTTTTTTAAAAAATTACATATTTTCTATTGCATATTTGCTCCATACTTGGCTCCAATTATATGATAGTTTCCCTTTGACAACTGTATACTAGCTTTTATTGTGTTAAGCTTCATTTACATTATTTTGATATCTGTCCAAATGTCAGAGAGGCAAAGGCTAGATGTGGAAAGATTTTCAGACAGGCAAAAGACTGTGTTTACTCGCGATTCTCTTTCACAAGTTTTAGAGTTCAAAGATTTCCCTAAGGAGTTGACTCAGGGTATGTATGATGGAATACATACAATAGTCATGTTTTGAATTCCACAAATATATTACACTTCTAATCTTTTAGGTTCATTTTCATGAAGATTCACCAAATCTCCATATGGTATTTTTAGGTGCAGCAAGACGTATGTCAAAGCGGAAAAATTTCCGGTGGAACCCAGAGTCAGGTTTGATGATTTCACATGCCTTTTGTTTGTATTTATTTGTTAAAAGTTGTCAGTTGTTTGCTAATTGGAGCCACGTATTCATTTTAACGTTGGCGCAGAAGTTCATCTTCATAGTGCAAATAGATCTCTCCCTCTTAAAAAAATCATGTTGAAACTTCTATTACTGGTTCTATCATATATATATCATTGAGTTATTTTGATAAATAAACAGTATATTTTAATGGCAAATTTTCCATGAAAAATGTAATGAGATACATAAATGTTGCAGAGCTTCACCTGCTGCCAAAATTGGATTCCAATTATTAGATTTTGTCACGTTGTGCCGGACTTGCATTAAGTGTGAACTTTGGTTTTTAGGCATATCCTTCTTAACTTACGATAGAATTATATTATAGACATATAGATTTGTGATGTTGCATGGGACTTATTTAAGATGCTTATGTGACAGATTTGAAGGCACTAGATTTCTTTGAACAGCTTGAGAAAAAGGCCCAGGTAAAGTACCTCAGCTTAAATTATCATGCCAACATTTTTCCATGGTAACAGTACAGTGGTCAGTTGTCACAGTTCTTGTCCAATGGATTCCTTATTTAATTTGGTACCAGTTAAGTCTATACTGCTGGGAGGTGGTTTTGTAGGTTTTTTTTTTAAATACTTTTAAATAGCATTTAGATTTATGGATTTGGATTTAAATTTTAGATTTAGAATCTTGTTTTAAATCTCACATTTAGAATTCATGTATTTAAAATCCTTTGGTTGTGTAGTTCAAAAAATTTCAAATGAAGAAAAAAAATGAGTTTTACATTCAAAATGAAAATGAAAGATCAGGAGTGATGAGTTTCCTTTTATTTTTTACAACAACAACGACAAGTTTTTATCTCACTAAGTGAGGTTGGCTGCATGGATTGCAAGACGCTATTATGCTATATCATTTACCAAGCTTTTAAAAATATTATTAATTAAAAAATCGTATTCAACAACTTCCAAGAGTGTTTTGTTAAGCCTTCCTCTACCTCTCTTAACAGGGCCTAAAGTTATATGTTCCACTTTTTTCACTGGTGCTTCCCGTGGTCTATGTTCAAACCATCTCAAATGATTTTCTACCTTTTTTTCTCAATAGGTGTTACCCTCACTTTTCCGTTTACGTGCTCATTTTGAATTTTGTCTTTGCGTGTGTGCACATCCATCATAACATTCTCATTTTTATTACTTCAACTTTATACTCTTGTTGTCCCGTTAGAGCCCGGCATTCACTATTATATAACATAGCCGATCTGATAACAGTACGATAAAACTTTCCTTTAAGTTTATTAAGCACCTTACGGTCACAAATAACTCATTTAGCTTTTTTCCAATTAAATCACCCAACTTGAACCCTATGTGAAATATCCTCACTGATTTCGCCATCATTTTGAATAATAGCTCCCAAATATCAAAACCATTACACTTGAGGTATAATTTGATCTCCTAATTTCACTTCCAAATTACTGTCGATTAATCTCTTACCAAATTTACAATATGAATATTCTGTCTTACTCTTACTCAGACGGAAACCTTTCAACTCCAATGTCCTCATTCATAACTTAAGTTCAGAATTAGTATCTTCTCTTGTATCTGCTATAAGAACTATATCATCTGTGAAGATCAAACATTTGAGAATTTTCCCTTAAATATGTCCCATTAAAACATTTAGGACCAAATTAAATAGATAAGGACTCAAAAATGATTCTTGATGTAGTTCAATCTTTATAGAAAGTCTTTTGTTTGACTACTAGATGTTCTTATACTAGTTTTTAATCCTCTCATACATATCTTGTATAATTTTAATATAAGCAATCCGTACTTCCTTCTTTTTCAAGGCTTTTCAAAGCACTTCTTAGTATACGGTCATAAGTGTTTTCCAAGTCAATAAAAAATATATGTAAATCTTTATCTTTGCAATGATATTTTTTCATTAATCCTCTTAGTAGATAAATCATTTCTGTATTCGATCTATCTGGTATAAAACCAAACTAATTCTCAGAATTACTTGTTTTCAATCTCAACTTATGTTTAATTACTTTTTTTCATGATTTCATTGTGGCTCATGAGTTTAATCCCTTTATAGTTAGTATAATTATGAATATCCCTTTTATTTTTATAAATAGGAATTAATGTACTTCTCCTCCAGTCGTCAGGCATTTTCTTGAACCATAAAATCACATTAAATAACTTAGTTAACCATCTCACCCATTTTTTACCTAAACATTTTCACACTTAAATAGATATACAATTAGGTTCGTTGGCTCTATTATTTGCCATTTTCTTAAGAGTTTTTTTTACTTCCTTATCACGTATTATTCGATAGAAGGACAAATTTTGTTTTCCTTCACCAGTTACTAACCTTCTCCATCATTGAAAAGTTGAAAATGTAAGTCTCCCATCTATTTTTAATTTCATCATCTGTAACTAAAATTCTTCCCTCTTCATCCTTTATACATCTTACCTGTTCTAAATTTCTTGATTTTTTCCCTACTCTTAGCAATCTTATAAATGTTTCGTTCTCCTTCTTTTGTCTTAAGGCTCTTGTAAACTTTGTCAAAGCTTTAAAACGAGTTTCACTCATAACTCTCTTAGTTTTCTTTTTTGTCATACGGTACCTTTCCTAATTTTTCTCATTGTTACACAATGGCTTTAAAGCAGTTCTTCTTATATTTGATTTTGTCCTGTATACTATTATTTTACCACCAAGACTCTTTATTTCTCGGACCAAAACTTTTTGATTCTCTCAAAACTACTTTTACAATCTTCCTTATCTTTTTAGTCATATCCTCTCACAAGATGTTAGCACTTTTTGAGATTTCCAAATTTCTTTATCCAAAAGATTCTTTTTGAAAATATTTTGCTTCTTACCTTTTAATTGCCACTACCTAATCCTTAGTATTATTACTTGTTGACGTTTTTGAATTTCACTTATAATACACACATTAAGCACAAGGACCTTATGTTGTGTACAGCATCTCCATGAATTACCTTGCAATTTTTACAGAGTCTTTTATCCATATTTCTAATTAAAAGAAAATCAATCTATGACCTTAAGGCTCCACTTTTGTAAGTCATGAGATGCTCATCTTTCTTCTTGAAACAAGTGTTGGTAATTTTAAAATTATATGCCAATGAGAAATCAAGAAGAGTTTGTCCTTTATTGTTTAGCTCTCCAAAACTAAAACCACTATGCACCCTCGCATATTGACCAGCCTCCCTCCTGACATGCCTATTAAAGTTTTCTCTAATAAAAATCTTTTCACTGTGGTATGTATTGAATCAACCCTTCCAAGTCTTCCCAAGATAATTCCTTAAAACTGGCTTCTGTCCCGACTTGATGCATATAGGTACTAACAATATTAACAATCTGACATTTAACTATCATTTTTAAGGAAATAATTCTGTCTTTAATTCTGTTAACTTCTATAAGGTTCTTCTTCCACTCCTTATCAATAATGATGCCTACTCCATTGCGTGTGTTTACTTTTTCTGTATACCAAAGTTTGAAACCTTGAATACCCTTAACTTCTTCTCCACGCCGTTTTGTTTTTTGCAAGTATAGGATATTGATTTTTCTTTAAATCATAACCCCTACAACTTCTACAGATTTGCAATTCAATGTCCCAACATTCCAAATACCAAATTTAATTTTGCTCTTATGGACTAATTTCTTTAGCTGTGCATGTCCAGAATGATGCGGTAGCCCTTGCTCATTTAATACTACATTCGAGTGCCGATGCAGCGGCTCTAACTTATCATTGTGCTCGAGCCATGCAACGTGTTACTTATAGGCAGTGACCTAACATTAGCATTATAACATCTATTGTCCATATTCATGATAGATTTAACAAAATTTTACGTTGGCTGTTGATGGGCTAACATAACTCTTTTTCTTTACTTGGGCTTGGGACCAGCTATAAACGTAGGCGGAGTTTACTTTTATTTTCAAATCAACGAAAAATGTGAAGAGATGAGAATTAAAAAGACATTAATAGTGAAAATGTGAAGAGAATAAGAGATTTGAAATTGCTTGAATTTCAAATGACTAGAGTGTAGAGAGAATTTCAAAGGATTTGTATTTGAATGAAATCTTAATCCATAATTTCTTTTTTTTTTTTTATCTAAATGAGGGATTTGGTCCAAATTCAAATTTCCATTAATTTAAACACACCACAACTCTTCTAATATAATTTTGGTTTGATAAATGAAGGCGGATGGTTCCCTCCCTGTCAAATGTAAACGTAGTCCTGTGCCCTTGACCAATATTGTATGAAATAGCGGCTCTGATCCAATATAAGATGATATTTGCATTTACCGATATGAAACAGTATAGGGCTACTTCACTCGTGCAGTGGTTCCCAAATCCTTTGTCAATGATTCTTTTTTCTGCAGGGCCAGGAAGATAAAGGTGAAAAGGAAAAGAAAGAAGGGGAAAACGAAGAAGATGATGAAAATGCAGAAAATGAGGAGGGCGAGGAAGAACTTAGTGATGATGACTACAATCAGGTTCTGAAATGGCCTCGACTTTGATGTCATAATTTTCTTTCATATTATTATCTTATTGACTCATTCAAAATTAGTCTGTTTTTTTGTTGCAAATTCCATTCCTCAGCAGTTATAACAAATCCCTCATTCTCTTATAATAACCATGGGGCGCCCTCTTTTTCCTTTTCCATTAAATCACATGGCAGTATAAACTTGAAGTTTTGACTTTTGAACAATTATATGAGTGCTTACACCATGTGCTTTGCAATTTTCCTAATATGACATATAAGAGGCTTAATAACTTCCTGTAGTTTGAGGTTTATTGTTGAAGATTGATGAGTCAAGTCACTAATTCAGCAATCCTCTTTCTTTATGTCACTGTTTTGCAATATAAATTGTAAAATTGCAATATCTATGTTTATGATTTTGTGTTGGAAAGCTTAAATTAGAAAACAAAATGTTACACTCGAACTAATACCTTGCTCTTGCAGAATGAATATTTTGACGATGATGAAGATGATTACAATGATGTGGATGACGGGGAAGGTATTGTCCGCTTGAACATCACTTTAATGGTTAATTGCAAGTGCCATTTTTTTTTTTTTTAATTCACTTTGATCATCTTCTATTTGAATATTTAGCTTTGGCGTTTTTCAATGTCGTCAGCTTCTAAATATTATCATGCTTAACTCCTTTTCACTTATTGCAGATGAAGGCGTCTACTAATAATCTATGGAGAATGATTTTCTGCCCCCGATTTGGAGCAGAAAATATTGAACACTGGTTCTACCGCGCCTGCGGGCATGCAGTTTAGAGTCAGCACTTCAGATGGGGCGGGCATATTTGGGCCAGGCTGTAAAATACATAAACATATAAAGCTCATATACTTTAGGCTTTTGGGTTTGCCCAGTTGAATATTATTTTATTTTTTAACAAATTTCAATTTTTATTATAGAAAATTAAAGTTTTTCAATCAACATAATATAGCATCTTTTTTCCCCTATCCTTATCAAAGTGAGACCAAACATAAAGCATTTGCAATAACCTTGTTTTTATTTTTACTTAATATTTTAAAAAGGTATTCGAAACAAACAGTTATTAGAATATTAAAATTTCATTTAGGACTGAAATATGCAGACTGGGTGTTTGTGAGTCTTAAGTGAGAGTTAATCTTAATTTTATTAATAATGAAAACAAATTTGGGTAGTCCCATGCAAGTTTGGGTTTGACTTTGGATTTTTTTTGAGCTTATTTAGGCAGTTCCAATAATAGAATAAATCCAGTGTAGAGAAAACTTTCTGAACTCAAACTCAATCCTAAAATTTTTCAGGCTAACCCATCATGTTTGGTTCAAGTTGCTGGCTCAAACACAGGTTGAGAGATTTTGAGTAGGGGCTGTAGAGGAAGTATTGATAGAGAATGATAGCATAGTCAACATTAATTTATATTGCTAGCATGTTGGATTTATATTTACGGCATGAAAACATGGATCATCCTGTTTTCAAAATATACACACCATTAATCAGGAATTTATCTCAGCAATCATATATTTTTTTTCTTCTCCTTTTTCTGAACTTTTGTTTGTGAGAGTTAATTCATAGTCCACGTGTACTGTCATTAAGTTATAGGTACGGTTATAGCAAATGTTCTATTTGTGTTAGTTGTAACTGACTGTACAAGTGGATGTATCTCGATGCCTATAAACAATACTTTGCATGGTTCTCAGATCATCTCATCTGGGCCATTTCACGTTCATCTCTATTTTTTCACTGTTTATCTGAAAAATGTGAGCATATCGAATCAGCAATACATTTTTCTGATCCCCTTGGTATACAGTATGATGCATTTTTTAGAAACTTTACCTAATTCAAAATATAAAATTGAATAACTTTTATTTTTTCAACTATGTTCCTACTCTATTTATTACTTTTTTTAGGAAAAAAATCATATATTGAAATTTTAATTATTATTATCAAGGCTTTTGTATAGGGTATTTATTAAGAATATGAATAAAAAGATGTGAATATTTTTAAAAAGTTAAAGTTTTAAGTAACATTATTTATAAATCATGAATTAATTAATTATGATTTATATTGTGGTTTGGAGGGAGTATGTGGGAATAATTTTGATTTGGAAAATCTATTGTGGAATTAGGTTCTACCAAATTATATTGTGATGGATTATTTTATTTTTATTTTGATCATTTAACACCAAAATTTTTATTTTATTTTATTTTTATGTTATATTCATTATTGTTGAGATTGCATTTTACCAACACTTATAATCATAATTCTTGATTATAAAAATAATAAGTGAATTAATCAAATAATGAACGAGAAAAATAGCATAATTTCTTTCGCAAATTAGAAATCTTAAGTGGGTAATAGTATCATGATGCAATTTTTTTTTTTTTTACCGGCGTCATAATGTTAATTCATAATATTATTTACAAACATTATATAAGGATGCAATAATCTTGTGTTTTCTGAAACTTGTAGTGAACGCCACTGCAAGAAAATAGGAAAAGATACCATCAAAATACAAAACGGAGAAAAATATTAGCATACTTTATTTCAAATAAATATTTTCAGAAATGAATCGTAATACAAGGCATAATGATAATGACAAAAGAGCAGACAACCCAAATAGAATCAAAAATCAAATTGAAAAAAATGAGAAAAAATTACATCTAAGTCTCACATAAAAAAATTTATTAAGAGGTTCCATAAAATTTATAAAATACTCTCAAGTTCCAAATGTTATACATTTATAACTTAATTAAGAGTATTGATAATTAGACAACTATCATTTATAATAACATGCTATTACAGTAATGAATATTTTCTTTGACTTGATTGCAATTCATGAGCCAATACATTAAATCTCATTGCTATTGGTCACATATAAATAATTCAACCGAAGAAAAATGTCAGATTCTTTTTCATAAACCCCACCCAAAGAAAAAACTGAGCTTCCAATTTGGCAAATCAAGCTCAGATTTCAACAATTGTAAGGATCCTCTGAATAAGCATCATGAATGGTACTTTCTCTTCAAATAGTTTCCTTATCATGAATCACGTTGCAGATAACCATCACCTCTTATAACCACCATTCAATCCTTTCACTATTTCCATCAGAAAACATGACAAACAAAAACAAGGAAAAATATATAATCATAAGACTCCCTATGCATTATCTGATGTTTCTACTGACATGGTAGGCAATTCAAGATACAAGAGAGGGACCATGATGTTTGGAAGTTTAATTACTACATTGCCATGAAGCATATACAAGAACAATTATAAACAGTAACTAAGCTAAAAGGTGTAGGCATATCTTGTAAAAAAATTATTCTGAATCGTGCTGAAAAAGATACTGTTTTTAAGAGTAATTTCAACACAATTGTCGGAGCGACCCAAGATTAAGTGAAACTCTCTTATAAAATGAATAGAGTGATAGAACAATAGAAATAATTCAAGATAGGAAGAACTTATGATGCAAAAGAGAAGAGCTCGAAGACTCTTGAGCAATGTGTATCTACAAACAACCTTGAGCACATTTATAGAAACTGTTTTTGAATTTTAATATTAAAGGTAATTAATGGTGAATAAAATGACTGGCACCGCATCTAACTCACATAAGGGGAAAAAGCCAGATCTCAACTATATTGGTCCATTATTATATGCACGAGTCTACTTCTCTTCTCAGCCATCTACTTGCTCAAATTTTCATTTTAGTATAAACACTAAAGCTTTCTCAAGTTTGAGCAATGTAAGATTTCTTTTGATACACAAACACAAAAAAACTCCAATAATCACCCACATGTGTCAAAAGGAACATGAACATCTAATTTACAACCATGAGTATAACAATTTTGAATCTAGTGACTTTTGGTGAACTATATCTTGACCAATATTGCTTAGTATATAGAGAAGTCAATGAGGCTTGCTTCCACGAACTAACAACTCTTGGGCATATACTAGAAGCCTTATCAATCAGATTATACCCCTACAATTTCCATTGTTAACAACAATTTTGCACTTTGACGATCATGCACGTCTAGTACACCAACAAATGCTTTAGAGATTTCACTACAACCTCATAAGAGCGGCCCCACTCTACATTCGTCTAGGTGATTTCATCAAATGTATCTATAATAAATACACCTTCTGTAAGGAATATGAAATCATTAAGGTTGTGTTTGGATGGGTAAATTTGGGTTAGAGATTTGGATTTGAAATCTCATATTTGAAATCTAACATTTGAAATTTATAGGTTCTAAATTCTTTATTTGCATAATATAAAAAATTTTAGATTATAATATTAAAATCCTTTATTTGGATCTTAGGTAAAAATCCAAATTTTAAATTGAACAATATTGGCAGCCCTGTCCTAGTCAAAATTGGTGGTCTGGATGGCTAATTTCAATTAGTAGACTGTTGGCACCAATTGGGGCCTGACCATCGACACAATTGAGACAAGACTGATAGTACCAATCAGGACTAGAGTGCAGGCAAAGACAAGGATTAGACATTTGACTCCTACTGAAATCGAACCACTAGTACTTAGAGTCGGTAATTCGAGCCAAACCTAAGAAGTCACCTGCCTAAAAAAAGTTAAGGTTGAATTTGATTATATCAGCTTTTTTAAAAGCCTGACTTGAATTGAGTTTGACTTAAATAAGCTCGGCTGCAAGAATTACTACTCTACATGTGTATAGAGATGATAATTTAGGCTAGGCCTCCTAAACCCACTAGAAAGAAGTTAGGACCGTGATTGACTATATGAGCTTTTTTTAAAAGTTAGGATACTTTAAGCTTGATTTGAATAAGCCCGACCCTAATTACAAGATCATTGGTGCTGACCAAGTTTAAGACAAAAGATTGGTTGGTGTTGATGGTTTGATCTTAGTGAAAGTTGGCAGCGTAGTCCTAATTGTTGCCTGCACTCTGGTCCTAGTCAGCGGTGGCGGTCTTGTCTTGACTGGCGCCAGTGGTCTTGTCCCGATGGAAGTTGGCTTTGTGGTCATAATTGTCACTTACACTCCAGTCCTAGTTGGCACTGGCGGTCTAATTTTGGTGGAAGTTAGTAGTCCAGTCCTAGTTAGTGGTAGTGGTAGTCCGGTCCTAGTCACTACTGGCAATTTGGTTTTTTTTTGGCACCACCGATAGGCTAATCAAATTATAAAGAGATTAAGATAGGATTTAAATTATAAAGAGATTAAGGTAGAAGTTGGACTTAGATTTGAGTCCATACATTTGTAATCAACCAAACAATTGATTTGGATCAAATTTAAATCTAAATCCAAATTCCTATGCATCCAAATATAGCATAAGAGCTTTGCTTAGCCTCACTGACAATGCATCCTAGCACTTTCTCATACATTATAAGAAGGGGATAAAATATTTTTTGTTTTAGCAAAACTAATAAATGACTTGTTTTTACCTATATAAACCTTCTTCATGGGATTATCAATCACAAAAGTTGGGTTACCATCACTTTTAGTTTCAAATTGGCTTAAGTCACATTCCTCTCGATGTTTTTGTAATCTGTTTCTTCTGTGGGGGCTTAATTAATGGATTTGCCAGACTTACATATGATTTCACATATTTGATTGAGATAATCACATTTTTAGTAACTACTCCCTCCATTAAAATAATGTAAGGTATTTTTAACCGAATCTCGCCCTCTAATAAAGTAGTTACCTATTTTCAAATTAACCCTATCTTTTCATATTTATCCCTATTAAACATCTTATAATAAATATAAAATCATTTATTAATAGGGGTACTTTTGAAAAAAAAGTAATGATTATACCTCGAAAAACTAAACATGCCTTACATTTTTTAACATCTAACTTCTCAAAAAATATTTTATATTTTTTAATAGAGGGAGTACTTTATAATATTATGCCTCAATTGAATGCATTTACACATACCATTAAAGGTCTTATTTTTAGCCATAGTTATTGGTAATTGGCTATCACAAATCATCAACATGGTC